TATATTATCATAATTTACTATAACTGCATTTACTTTTTTATTTTTGTAAAATTCTTCATTTTGTCAATTCGGTTTATTCTTTTGATAAAAGGCTTTGTCCATATTTTTTTTTTCCCCTTAAAATGATGTTTTCATTTTTTAAATATAATCGAGACTGGTTCAAAAATTATGGTCCAGTAGAAAAGTGTCACCTGCCTAAATAATTTTAACCTCCCCAAGGTGGCTGCTCAGAAAATGTGGCCCAAATCACAGACATTCCCAACACCACAACTTGTTAAAACCCAAAAGGTAACTTTAAAATCAAAACCACCAGCAGGAATGCTGAAAGTCTGGGTCCTCTGGGTGATTCTTGAAAACCACCTTTGGAGAAATTTCCCCGTATTTCAATTTAAACCCCGTAATAAATATGGACCCGCAGCCTCCTACTCTTTATCAAAAAGCAATTTACCCTTCCATCTAAAAAAACCCAACGGGCTGAAAACAATTTATGCGAGGCGCCCGGAAAAAAAAAATTAGTGGGTTAAAGAAAAAGGAACTCACCCGTGGAAATAAAGGGCTTGAATTTTTTGAAAACTCTTGTCATGTAGATATTTGACCCCTAAGAGATCTATCACCAGATTTGACTTGTTGATGAATTTCCAGGCCCACCCCACCCCTTTATTTGCAGATGGAAAAGGGGGAGCTCTAAAAGAATTTGGCAATGCTGTTGCAACCAAGTGCGCCCTTGGACCTTCATTATCAAGAAAAACACGAAAAAATTTTCCTGTTGGGCCCATGAGAAATTGTTGAAGTTTAAAAAAAATAATTGTGCAAAAAGGGCATGAAAAAAAACAGAAGGGCCAATTAAACCAGGCAATTAGGCTTAAAAAATGTAACTTTTATACTAAAAAAAAGATTGATAAGGAATTCAATTACGGGAAAATTTATGAATATTTTTTATCAAAAAAAAATTTTCCCAAAAATATGTTCTGGATGCTCAGGGGAAAAACTGTTTAAGCGGGGGAAACCTGCTTTTAAGTTTTAGCCCGAAAACTCAACGTTGTTTGGTTTTGGAGTAAAAAACAAACGGGTTTAAAAACCCCGCCCCATGTTCCCCATCCAAGCCAAAAATAGAATTAAAATTTTGTGCCTTACAAAAAGAAATTTGACCAAAAAATTAATTTTTTTGAAATAGTTTAAATGAAAAATAAGTGGGGAGCGCTATCAAAACGGGAAAAATTTTTGGGCCCCAGAAGCAAAAACCGTGAAAGGGGGTGTTTCTATCAATTGTTGTGTCGCAAACCCAAAAAATTTAATAAAATTTCGAGGGAAATGTTCTTGGACCCCTTCAGTTTACATTTTGCCCGCTTAACTAACGGTTTGTTTGCGGACAGCGCTGAGAAAATTGGGGTGTTTAAAGGGATTTTCGTTCTCTCTGAAAAGCAGCCTTATTTGGGCCCTACACCCAAATGCCCAAAAGAGAAGAAACAATAATTCAGAGGACAGTATTAAAAAAACACCTGAAACAGTTAAAACAGCAAACTTTTATCAAAGGGTAGAACAACCTCCATGATACATCCTGAAAATCAAGAAGACCAACCTCTACAGGATATCATTATTAACAGGAAAGGTCAGTTGGGAAAACTAACACCATCAACATCCAAAAGGGAGGCAAAAACAGCAACATACTTACTTTCAGCAAAATCTATAAATAAAATCTCCTTTGGGATATAAACAGTATAAACAAACATGTTTTTCTTCAGTGGGGAATAAAATATTTGGGTTGCGGCTACGGAAGACAACCCAGCTTAAACAAATGTGCCTGTCTGTGTACAGACCTGAAATTCAAACCCTTTAAAAAATTGGGTTTATTTTAAAAATTTGAGGGGACTATTCCTTTTAAAGCAAAATTTCATATTTCATTCTTTTAATTCCTACATAACCTGCGATATTTTAAAATTTTGGTTTAAATTCTTTGTTTTATTTTACACTGTGAAAAAATTTTATATTAATTTTTAAATAAAAAACCCTTTAGCATTTTTTTGCAAGCCAATAGGGGGTTTTAATAAAATTAAACAAGTTTTTCTTTGGCTATGGCTGTTTTTTCCCCAATTAATTAAAAGGCTAAGAAACATTTTTAACTCCAAATTTTTATTTAAAAATACACTGTTATTGTTTTAAAAGTAAAAAAAAAAGGGGACAGAAACATTCTTGTAGGATTTTTTAATGGGAAAACCCTTTAAAATGTAGGACAAAAAGGGGAAATATGCAACAGAATAAATGAAAGGACACGTAAGCACGCACCAAACATTTATCCCGGGGCCATCAAACACCCTTAAATATGTTCTCTTTAACAAAGCGATTTACTTACCTCAAAAACAAATAAAACAGCTCTCGGTATACCCCAGGCTGCAGCAAATGGCCCAGGGTTCACACGACTTAAGCCTTTCCGGTATTTGGTGCAAGTGGGCTCAAATGGTTAGCACGCGACACAACAGTGGCACGTGGCACAGGTGGGCGAGACCTCTAATAAGGTCTGGTTCAAATACAGGAATTTTAATTGTGAACCAGGTAAAAGAAGTTTATGAACATGAACTGGTGTGCCACTGTGCATCAGGGAAACTTTGGAAATAATGTATAATACCGATAGCCCATCTGGTCCTTTCTTTATACACCCTGCCCATATTATACAGCCCTGTCTGTTTAAGCACAGATTTTCAATTCGATTCTTTTATAAATAATTTTTTTAAAAAAGCTTCCATTTTAAAACTTTGTGTATTTAAAGGGAGGCTGTATACCTGGTACAGGAAATGACCTCCTGGCTATATTTAAACAGACATTTCTTAACTGAAAGTAGCTTTTTGAGATTTTTAAAAAAAAATGTATATATTAATTATATAAATTACATAATACAAATAGAAAATAAAAAGCACTTGTGGTAATTAATTACAAACTCAGAATTTATACATCAATTATCTGCTTCATGACCCAAGTTTCATTAAAATTTGCACTAAAAAAATGATAAAGCTTATTACCTGTCAAACAGATTTTACTCCATGTAAAAACAAGCTTCTAATCAGGCCTCAGACCACAATTAATTTCACTATATGTTCTATTAAAACATTAAACCTGTGGCAATTTTACTAACTCTCCAATCAAATCAAAGTCACTTGGCTTACGTACCCATCCAAGATAAATTCGTAGCTATAGCAAAACTAGGGATCATTAGTCATTTTCCACAGCGCATTTCAGTTCAAAATACTCAGTCTGACAGTTTTTCAGTAATTAGCCCGGAACCATGTGAGTTTCTTCTGTCATGTAGAAAAACACTAAAAAATGATACTTACTCGCATAAAATCTGGATCAAATTTGGCATTTAACAACTATATTTGAAAATGAATTCTGTCAGAAAATGGCCTTTTTTTCTATCTCTTTTCATTCAATTATTCATTTATATCTGGCATTAAACACAGGCAATCTTTATATGGGATTTACTTCCCCTTATTGTTGTGTCAACGAAAGGCAAATAACTGTGACTGATTTATGTTTCCGAATATCCAGTTCCTTTACTTTGGTAAAGCTTTGAATGTTTAATACAATCGTTGGGTGCCTGTTTTGAATTCGAGCGTAAACTTTTCAAATGAATCTTTTTTCCAACGGATTGTTTCCAGTTGGAAGAGAAATTTACAGGTACAAGTAAACTAGTATTCATACAATCCGTCGAATATCAAAATTATCATAACAAAATAACAAGAAGAAAAAAGACACCTGGTATTTAAAAATTGATAATTCGAAGAAAACTTGGGAAAATACTGCAAAAAAGTACACTTTTTTGGGATACAAGCCTTTTGGGATGCAAACGTTTCCAGACAAGTTAGCAATATTGATGAAGATAGCAAGATTCCTAGAAAAGTGTTTTAGATCACTATAATGACAAAGTAAAAATGTATTATGAACATAGGTTATATGAAATAATTAGTAGTCAAAAAGCAATTCGACATTCGTTTATAACAACAAAATATAACTTTTCAGGATGTACCAAATCTTACAAAATGACGTCATAAGATCAATCACAGTTCAATTCGTGACAATTATTTGGTGTTGCATTTCGTATTTCGTATTTTAGGTGTAGATATTTAAGTTCCGAATAAAACAAGTGAACCCGATGAATGACAACTAGTATGTTATTTTTACTCAGTTTTTCAAATTTGTTTTGTTGAGTTTGCCTTTACTGAAAATGCTGTTTATTGGATGAAAAGTTAGATCTAAATCCATGTTTATCAATTAATACTCGTACTATAGTAATATCACAGTTGCATAATTTAGATAAATATTACAAAACTATGATGAATGTTATCTTATCACAATGATATAATAAAAAGAAGTCGCTAAAAATTTAATGATATTTATAAAGATAATATGCTTCTGTTATCAAAGGTGACAATGTATAGTATAAGATAACATTTGAAAATGATGCATGATAAAGAAGGCTGACATAAATTGGTTGCAACTTACCATATAAAATAAATTAGTTATTCGGCTAATATAAAGACGTGAACGGGTTTTATGCCATACAAACTGTCATATTAGCATTACGCCTTTTTTTCTTATTTGACTACATGAAGCCCAGTTACAATGCCATCATGATTTATTATTTTAATTTTATTTTATTCATTAATATTGCAATATTACCCAAAACATTTTTACTTATTTTGATTGGAACGTAATGTATTGATTCCAATGACATATTTAACAAACATAAATCAACATTGTTTTGACAGAAATTCAAACATTTGACTTTTTATATATAGAATGTTGACCAATATTAAACATATACACGTATTACTGCTTGTATAAATAGAACCGCATTGCATGATTCCTCGTACTTCCTTCTTTTAGTATAACCACTTAAAGGTGACATATTTAAAATATCAACATTAAAAATAAAATTACAGAACTCAAAATGATTTTCAAAATGATTTCAAGATTTTGCTATGTATGTTGGCGTTATAAAAATTAACATAATTATTTATTCGTTTGGCTATTGAATCAAAAATTAAATATTTTTATTGTATAGAGAGATCAAGGTCATATATGAATATTCAAGAATAAAGCTTTGTTTGGTTTTAAAAGCTGGTTAGTATATTCTTGTCTCGTTCTAATTTGTAGAATCTGCGAGCAAAATTCTGTAGTTTTTCTCAAACAAACCTTTTCTTATAGTATGATGTTTTTATCATATTAAATGTTAGTTAATTTCATGATTTAAAAAAACCATTTAAAATCAAATAAAGTGCTTCATCAATTGATCCTGTCTCTTCTGTCCATACTACCGTAACGTCGACTGTATTCATTGACTGAACCTTCGTCAACAGAGTCTGCGGGTGTATAATTGTAATCACATTGAATTGAGCCTTCATTACCACGGTTAGGTTCCCTACCGCAGTCCCCAAACAGAACTAACCTAACAGGTTTGTCAAGGATACATACTAAGATAAAATTGCAGAAAGCTTGAGCTGGATCACCTATTGCCTGCATATGCATGAACACGTTGGATATTTCATCACCAGGACTTTGTTTATCCACTCCAGTCAAAGTCATAATCGATCGAATGGTACCCCAAAGACGTAGTAGATAAAGTATAAACCAAACATATAAGAAGTTATGATCGTAGTTCCGGAGACTTTCATGTATCTCTGTAAACTGGCGGCGCCTGAATCGCAATAGCTACAATAAATATATTAACGTTCATAAAGATACAATAATAAAGTCTTTTGTAATTATAATTTGTAGATATCTGAAACATATTTATTTCATTGTTTTTATTACTTTTGATAAATAATTGAAAACTAAGAACTTTTAAACTTAGTGCCAATTGGTATCAAAATTAGGTTCATGAATTCCATTTCAACAAAAAAGGAACTAAACCACTCGCACGCGTTAATTCGATCTCAAGCAACTCACTACAAAGTCAGCCAAATAGCTATCATTTATTATATTAATTTGAATTGAATTTAATTAATTTGATTTGATTACAGAAAAATCTTTTTATTTTTGGCGTTATAATATGTCTCTTGTATGCTTTGCTTATATGTGTTGTGATTCATATATGGCTACATTTTGAAGCATTGTATTTTGTCCGAAGAAAAGATCTTTGTAAATGTCCAAATGAAAACTTGCAGAATGCCAATAAATCTGATACAGAAATGTTGACTATGAAACAATTATCACCCAGTGCAGTAATAACTTACATGCGTAAAACACAATGACATTTTGCTGCACATAAAAAGGTGCACTATGTAGCATTGAGCATTCTGAAATTTTTAACACGTACATTTCGTTAGTGCTAGGTTTAGTTTTCGTATGTCAACGTACATCAACGTACCAAGTAGAATTTCAGAAGAACATATAAGGACGTCGTCAGCAAGTAGCACAATATTTCCCAACCTTTTCCAGTCAAAAACATCCAAAACATATAATCTTTAGAGTCTCTTTTTAACCAACACCAAGGACCAGTTCCCACATTTTCTGTTTTGTCTCTACCAAGAACACCATTTTCAATAGCAAATGCTATAATAATTCCTGTGAACAAAATCAGAATTGATATTTAATTTATAGGCCTTTCCCAACGTAATCTTTGATTGTGCCCATACATGTAATAATCGTCGTCATCATCATCATCATCATTAAAGTGGATGTTTCTTAATTCATTTTAAGCATTGTTTTCATGTTTAAATGTAGAATAATGCAATTCGACTGAAGCCATTGCGTTGATTACTTAATGAAAGATTACATTGAACAGGGTAAATAAAATCGAGCTTAAAATGTTTTGGCGACAACTGATCTGATTCCAAAGAGCAATTTTGATGTACTTGTATATTTTGAGAAAATAAGTAGAAATTAAGTGGTTGAAATATTTACCTGGGCATAACCAGCTTATGATGTTAGTAATTACAAGGAATTGCCACGATGATGTTCTATCGTTTCTGTTTACAACAGTTGAAAAGATGTGTATCGCAATGGCAACAGTAAGAAAGAATGACACGAGACTCGAATATGTTGTTATTCCGCTTTGTGGTGTGCACACGCCTCTTTGTGTTCCAACTAGATGAGCAATCGCTGATATTATGATTCCTGATCAATATAAAAAGGAAATCATATTTATAAATGGCTGCACAAGCTTTATACAAAAATTTCAAACAATGTCTGTTTTTATAAGTGATATATAAAATTCTTCAACCCAAACCAATTGTCCTGCATCGCTATGGGTTGAATACTGACAGGGACTACTGTCTTGCTAGCTTTCGTCTTTGGTTCAACACATGTGCCCGTTTGTGCCTGGAATAGTGTACAGAGTAGTATCTGAGGTCTTCCTACACAAATGCAGCTGGAAATCGCCAAATGACATTATCGGTGTTTGTGTTGCGTAATAACTATCCAGGAAGATTAGAAATATAAAATATTGACTGTGTTTTACGCATTTTAGTAAAATATAATAACTTTTACCTAACGCCGTTAGAAAATCTGCTATTGTTAGACACGTGACAAGTTTCCTGGTAGCGTTTCTTATTTCCGGCAAAAGGCTATAGGATCCGAATATCGCGAACGATCCTAGAATAGATAAACTACAACTAACAATTGACTCAATTACAACCACTGTTGAAAACGAATCTGAATCAGTGTTATTCCCAGTCGAATTTGAACCGTCCATTTTGTCACATTTCCTCTAGGGAAAAGAAAATAAAGTATGTATTACTGTACGTGCGGTTCTCGTGAAACCAATGTTTGTTATGTTTAATTTCGAATTTAGTTACAGATAACGTTTAATTATCACTAAGCCTATTATGATGGGGAAAATAGTTCGTGCAAAATTAAATTGTAGCTACAAAAACAATTGCCTTGTCAATATTTGACAATGAAGACCAGTGTAAGCTTTATCATAATTTTACAACAAAACGATAATATTATCATAATTGCACATGAAAAGGTAAATATAAAAGTACATGCACATTGTTCATAGATTCTCACCTCAAACCTGTGGTGTTATAGAAACCACTCATATTTCCAGTATTAAATTTACTTAAAACGTAAAATTTTACTAAATGTTTTTTTATATACTATTAAATAGACTATTATATTTACATGCATGTTTTCACTATAACTGTGGTTCCCTTCATACATTTAATGTATGATCCCCATCATCCTCGATATAGTTTATGACTGTGTGGGCAGAATTAAAACTGCTGCATAGATCTTCTTTAAACTTTGCATGAAGGAAACATTTTAAGTAACAAGAATAAATTATTACTTCAGATAATCTAAAAAGATCATTTTCTTTGGTTGTTTTGTTTTTATCTAATTGTTGGTCTCCTTATAAAATGCTATGCATTGATATTTTTTTATATTTTCTTTAACGTCAAGTAAATATGGTGATTGTTCTTTTTTAATAGGTCTTACTTTTAAAGTAAATTTGATTAGGTTTATGCCAGGAAGGTAATAATGTGCAAAAAGCTCAATATCATTTAATTGTTCTCTTTGTGTTTATTTGTGTTATACATAAAACAAGATTTTTACTTCGGAATAAGAGCAATCACATTTGTTTACATGGGTGACTCTAATTCAAACGGGGACAGGGGTAGAGATAGAGATGGGGGTCATAAATAACGATCTTAAAACGCTAATTCAAACGTGAATTTAGATATGCCCGTAACACTTTTAATAAACATAAATAGGAAATGACGAGTCAAAAGCTTAATTCTGCCGGTACATATTATGATAAAAAGAAAAAGAATGCTAGGTATTTTTACAGAATAACAATAAAGGCCCAGGTAATGACAATATCACTGCTGATTTTGTTTTAGTAATTATAGAAAGGGCATCAAAACACGAGGCTATTTTATTTGTACAAGACGGGGGAAGCAATTGAGAAGCTTCGCGCAAAACAAAAATGCGCTCATTACAGATACCTTACCAAATCATTTCTGCGCACAAGTCATTTCTATTTAGATTAAGGACTAGTGTACATTATTCCGGATGTTTTGTAAATCATTTAAATTTGCAAAATTATACTTATGGTATGCACTGTCCATGACAGAGGGGCCACGTATTAAATTAAACAAAATTCTTCCACTGATGCCTACCTGGTAAGGAAAGTAATTCCAATACAAACAAGACTTACACGACTTGTAAATGTAATGTGACATGACAGTAGTGCAACATTGTTCTGTTTGTGTCACTACTATAGTCAGTAATATAAGATGATAAAAAATATCAAAGCATATACATTTTCTTTTTCACTTATAATGCTACTCACTTTCTACAAATAATAACAACTAATCAATGTAGGAAATATTAAAATCCACATGTATATACTCCAAATCGACTTTATTTTCAAAATGTCCGTTACATGTTTCGCGACAAATGGTTTATCATGTTAAACAAGAAAGGCATTGATGCAAAGCATCAAATGGCGTCCAAGCAAGAAATGCAGCAAGTGAGGATGAACTAGTAGACATCTGATGACCAGATATTCTTTTAAATGGTTAATAGGAATTTTCCAGAATTGTACATGTATATCATAGATGAATGGACAGACGAAAGACATTTTTCATTACGAACTTTGGTCGGCTTGCTAAAAAAAATATTAAATGTATTTTCTTTGGAACATATAAAACAGTAGTCTAATTGAACAAAGTCTGTTTTTTTATTATAATTGTAACAAATACACAGACAGCATATAAAAATAGTAACTTTCGTCGGTTTGTTATGGGTTTATTGATAGGAATGTAAACACACTGGTGGGTCAGACGGGGATTTTGAAGTAATTCAACAAAATAGTAGATTCATCTCGCAATAAATCAATTAACAATAACTCTTTATTTTACCTATGTCTAGTTTCTTTTATATCTTTGACTCGCATGAACATGATGTTAGTGAATTTCCTAATATCCTGTGATACCTGTCTAAAATACAGGTAACAGTCTTCCTTTGATAAATAATGTTTCAATATATCAAAAATATATCAACATGCCATGCAAATTTATTCATGATTTTAAATGCACCATTGTTTTTGTTAACGCGTATATAAAAAAATCCTGAATTTGGTCATGCCAAATTTTTCATTCCAGTGTGTGTTCTTCTTTCAGTATTTATCTGAGACTTAAAATATAGCTACTGTATCTTAAGTCCAAGGCATCAAAGGAAACTATTTTTCTTAATTTGATAGAAAAAATGCCTGTTATATTACAATATTAGTATCTTTTGTTACATTTTTATGCTGTTTGTATATTTGTTACAATTATAATAAAAAACAAACTTTGTTCAATTTGACTACTGTTTTGTATGTTTCAAAGAAAAAACATTTAATATCTTTATTTTTTGCAGCAAGCCGACAAAAGTTCATGATGAACAATGTCTTTCGTCCGCCCATTCATCTATGATATACATGTACAATTCTGGTAAAATCCAATTAACCATTGAAAAGTTTAAAAGAATATCTGCACCAAATTGTATAAACGTTGGTTAACTTTAACCACTGGGTAAAATCCAGGGTTAGGTTAACTTTTGGGTTAAACTTTCGTTAGCCGATTGTATAAAATTTTCGTTAAATTTAATCAGCGTAAATTTCTGGTTAAATTAACCCACATGTAGGAGGTGGGTTAAATTTTAACCAAACGTTAACCAGACAGGGGCGTACCTCGGCTGTGCGCCGAGTGCCGGTTTTTGGCCTAAGGATCGCCAGAGACTTATATATCAAATATACCTATGTGCTATAACTAAGGATTTAGGGGATATTTAAGCTAATTGTACTACTATGTCTTTATCTATAGTTATGAAAAAAATATCAGGTACACACAGGTACACATATTGAATGTAAGAGAAATAGCACGAAAGTCTAACGTGTACACTGTTTTAAATAGTTCAAAAGTTTTTGCTTTTAGAAAAAACAAAACATAGCCAAGTGTCTCTCTCTCTCTCTCTCTCTCTCTCTCTCTCTCTCTCTCTCTCTCTCTCTCTCTCTCTCTCTCTCTCTCTCTCTCTCTCTCTCTCTCTCTCTCTCTCTCTCTCTCTCTCTCTCTCTCTCTCTCTCTCTCTCTCTCTCTCTCTCTCTCTCTCTCTCTCTCTCTCTCTCTCTCTCTCTCTCTCTCTCTCTCTCTCTCTCTCTCTCTCTCTCTCTCTCTCTCTCTCTCTCTCTCTCTCTCTCTCTCTCTCTCTCTCTCTCTCTCTCTCTCTCTCTCTCTCTCTCTCTTCTCTCTCTCTCTCTCTCTCTCTCTCTCTTCTCTCTCTCTCTCTCTCTCTCTTCTCTCTCTCTCTCTCTCTCTCTCTCTCTCTCTCTCTCTCTCTCTCTCTCTCTCTCTCTCTCTCTCTCTCTCTCTCTCTCTCTCTCTCTCTCTCTCTCTCTCTCCTCTCTCTCTCTCTCTCTCTCTTCTCTCTCTCTCTCTCTCTCTCTCTCTCTCTCTCTCCTCTCTCTTCTCTCTCTCTCTCTCTCTCTCTCTCTCTCTCTCTTGTAAAAAGATGGGTTTTATGACTTTAATACAAACACAACAGCTTAAATGTTTAGTGTATCGAAAAGTTATCGTATTCACAGCTAAAATGTAGTATCGCACGATCATTTATCTTCCTTAAATGCGTATTATGTCAATATTGTAGACAATAAATATTGTCTTTAACATTTTTGTTCTCAACTCTAGTCTTTCAATTTCCATTCGAAATATTTAAGTTATTTCATTACGAAGTTAAATGCCTCACGCACATAAAGCATTTTGGTATAAACAGACAATTTGTTATCTAAAGTCGGCGAAAATAAAAGAATTTGGAAATGATGTGTCTTATATGGTTATACATTGTTCTCGTTGTATATTTGTCTATGTTTTAGATATATATATATTATATATATATATATATATATATATATATATATATATATATATATATATATATATATATATATATATATATTATATATATTCTTTATCATACGTAGTTCTCATCTATTCATATTTTAAAACATAGACATAAACGTCATTGTTTTCAGAAGTGTGCAATTGGTTTACTTAATAAAATAATACAGTAGAAACAATTTTCTGTAGTGATATAATTTGTAAATACTGGTATTCTATTTTACGGTCAAATAAACAAAAGTTGAATTTGGTTTGAGACGATGGATGTTGGCAATAGTTCACTGCAAAGGTCTGATTCATAGTGTCAAAACTATTCTACATAATTTAAAATGAATACAAGTTGAATAAATATTACTAACTTTACATGTACTGATTAATAGTTACAATGTAAAATATATAAAAAACATTCCATACAGCTACAGTAACTCACTCCCTTCAATTGTGCTGCAAACGCCAAGTTGCAAACAAGATCTTTATTTTGCATAAAGATCTAGATGTAAAAATTAAATAAATGTTTACTTTTCACTGATTTGATTCTTCTGAAAAAAAAAATGATTGTAATATATTGGACAATTTCTTATCCTTATTTGGATTTTGACGATGTTTATTAGCATTATAACGCTTAACTCAAGCTGAAAAAGAGCAAGTTCCAAAGAAATTGTTTAAATCATATCTTTACTCCCTTTCTTCATAATTGAAGTTTTGGTTGTGCATAAAAAGGTAACTCATATTTGAATAAGGTAACATCCTAAGCAAACCCGTAGAATCAATTAGCAGTACGAATAAGTTGATCGATCTACGCCAAAATTAATGATTTCATTTTTGATTTTTTTTCTCGAAACGATTTCGTTTTATACGCCCTTGCGTATTGGCGTATCGGTAGGTAATTACGCCACTGCCAGAAATAA